CTTCTCCTCCTCTGACAGTACATGTGCCCGAATGATACGATCGCGGACGAGCTATTGCCTTCCCGCGCACAACCCTCATCGCGTGGTTAACAGCAGCGGTCGCATACGGGTCTGGAGAAGCGAGTCTGATGTCCCTAGCGTCGATATACAGGCCCGACGGGAGCATCCGCGAGTCCCGTGCGAGCGTCGTCATCAGCCGGCGGGCGGCATTTCTAAAGTCCGCGTCCTGTGGGCGGTGGCCTGTCTCGTCGATGACCTGGAAGTTCGCCAACTGGATAATTACAGAAGAAGCCAAAAAGAGTGGAGCGAAGACGTACCGTCTTGTACACATCGAGGATCCGAACCGCGACGCGCCCGTACATGCATCCCATGAACTCGATCCAAGGGCCGCTAGGCACACGCACCCGGGCGAACTCCTTCGCGTACTTGCGTGCAAGTTCGAGCAAGAAGTCGTGCTCTGGAATAGACATGAGGGCGCGCAGCTCGCAGGGGAATATTCCACGCATCTTCGCGCCAAGGACGAGGAGCTGGAAGAGCAGCGTCTGAAACGCACGTCCGGACGTTTGCGACAGGGTCTCGATGAACGTGCATCCCGTCACTGCGGTAGATGGTGAGTGCGGCAAGTGAACAACTGCATTGTTGCGGACGTACGTTTGTAGCAGTTCACAAATCCGAAAACGAGTGCCAAAGATTGGGTGACGCGCGGCAGAACCTCTTCGGCGAGTGAGGACGCGTCTGCCGTGTGGGTTCGCGGATCGTGCCAGTAGTGGATTGCGAAGTGATGCAGTTGCAGCGCAACTTGACGTGCCAAGTCCCAGATGGGATTGTCGTCTGGGACGCGCTTCCAGTCTGGGCTAGTGGTATAGTCGTGTAGAAGGTAGGATAGCGTAGCGTAGGCATACGCGCTTCCGATGCCCTGGCGTCGAACGTAAGGCGCATCATACAACCATAGAAAACGCTGCTCGTACTATGGCGGCATACTGAGCTCCGAGCGACTTCTCCACATATTGCAGGTCTTGGAAGGCGGTAATCAGAGATGACACGAGGGCAAAACGGTCTTGATTTTGTTTGAAGGGCGTGAGGTTCACTCCGCCTCGAACTGGAGGGATGTATGGCCGCAGGAGTAGCGTGATGACTCCGATCACATTCGAGCTATGTGGCGCCACTACCTCGAACTCTGTCGGCTGTTCTTTCGCCATGTGTCAGAAGGAGCTCATGCGAGACGAGGGTCAAGCATACCGAAAGAAAGTTGGTGCAGTAGCGCCCGTACCTCTCCGATAAACTCGCCTTTCTTGCTGGATGAATGGCAGAGTATCTGGATCGTAAAAGAGTAGGTTCCTGCTTGAAGTGCTCTGAGGTCTGGTAAGAACGTCGAAATAAATCCGCCTTGTTCGTAGCTCACGTTGACCTCTCCGGATGGTGCCAGACCGGCTTGGATGTCTTCTCTGTCTGGCTAAACGAGACAGGAACTGGTGGGACTTTGCTGCCTCGATGTCCGTTGAGAATAATTTGAATCGAGTAGCTGCCTTCTTTGTGCAATCGTGCGTGTAGCTCTGACAGGTGTCACTTGCGGCGCATGGAGCAAAGGGAAGGTGCTGTACTCACGAGAGACCGCCACTAACGTGCTACCACTAGTAGTATTGGAGGGCATGGGAAAGCAGATAGGCAGTGCAGAGAGTTCTAGTGGGTTTCCGTATACGCAGACAACAATGATAGAGCTGTAGCGTGGTTCCTTGCCACTATGAGTATGTGATCTAAGAAACAATGCGACGCTTGAAGGCCTTGACGATGATGGCAACCGCGCCGCCGCAAACGAGGTCTTTGTGAGTTTAGAGTGTGTCAAGATACATACGGTCCTAAGGCAACAGCGACGAGCTTACCCGAGCTAGAGAGTACAATAACTTCAGCGCATCGCAACCGCAATGCATGCAGAAAGCTTCCGGCGACGGGTTGACAGCTTGAAGCGAGGGCGGTAGCCCTTGTTCATCACCGATATCCAGGATGGGCGGTACGCAGCGTCTCCGAGAATTGGACGGTTGCTTTCTTTGTATTTTGTTGAGGCTTCTGGCCTGGAATGGGAGGCAGGCGAAGATGTCTCCCGAGCGGCAGGAAATCCGAGAACTTCTTCTCGAAGACCTCATGGTGGGAGCTGCTCCTTGTCTCCATCACGATAGCGCACAGCAAACATAGTGGGACGCGAGAGAGAAGTAGAGTACAACCAGATATATGTGATTGTGAACCACCTCGTTGTCACCAGCAGGGGAAAGGCAGAGCCCGTCCCGCCAGCGAAGAGCGAAGGCGCTTTGATTCACGATAGCGGGAGCCAAGCCCCCGGACAGTCTACCTTCTAATCTTATCCAATCGTCCCTATCATTGTCCGGAGCGCCGAAGCGGCGCTCCAGCAAAGACGTTGCTTTTGTCTTGACCTCAAGCACATGCACTCATGTTCGATCTCATCTAGCGGCAAGCTGGAGATGCCCGCCAGGGGAGTCTATCTCGGTCGTTGAAATAGCCCCGAGGCTTTGCAATGCCTTCGCGCTCTCTCTTGGATGACGGTGAGTCCAAAGGAGCCGCAATGCCGACTCGGAAGAGTGCCCGTGCGGGAGAGGTACGCAGTCTATTTCTTGCGTTGCATGTAACCGACATGGACAATATCTCGGTCTGATGGCAGATGGTCGTCTGATATCGTATTGTAAGATGGATCACACCACAGATTCGGACGAGACTGTACTCAACATGTTCAAAGGTGGACAAGTTCGGCGTCCCTCGCAGCCTGGTTGGACGCAGAATAGTAAAAGTGCGAGAATGCGCAAGCATGTCGGATCTCGGATGGCAACATGGGTTCGGTATGTGGATAAGACAACGCATCTTGCCGTGTGAAGCCGGGAACTCGAAGTTTCGTCGCCCGACATACCTTCAATTTGGCTCGCCGATATCGACGAACAGACATATTATTTTATTGTCCGCATTCGAATGCCAGAGGAATAATCTGGACGCTCATGCCATGATGCGCTCAGCTGCTCATAAGTAAAGGTAGCTAACCGGCAAGTAGATCAGTAAGCTAGCTCAGTAATCCCTGGAAATATGCAGTGTAACCTATTTTTTTCCCAGTCGCTTATGTTGCTTACCATGACTGATTCTAGGCGACATCACGAGCAACTTTCCTTTATTCACGAGGACCCTAGGTTCCGAAGCCGATCACCAAAGATGCCGGGACCTTTCAAGGATGTCATGCCCCGTTCAACTTCATCCTCGGTGACGTGGGTTATGGCATCCCGCTAGTCCTTTCACTGTATAAACACCCCGAAGAGATTGCGTAGGAAGTCCAGTGGTCACTGTAAAGCAGGACCGCCCTTCCTTCACAAGACATTGCCAATTGTTTCCGCAGTGCGACATTTCTCACCAAGACCCTGGTATCAGATGCGAACGCGCTTGCGCGTGCTGTGACCCCTGTACGATTAATTGTTCCACTACCCTTACTTCGATCATGAAAGGGAACAATCCCCTTCGCTTTGGCCTATTGTCTCTGGCGAGCGTGTTGTGTCACAACGCACAATTAACGGTCTGCGCATCGTGCTCGTACGCCCAGCTGCCTGTCGGACTCAAAAGATCCGTCGTCCTGGCTGGTGGGCATCGACCTCTGATTCATTCTTTAATCGCGCAGCAGAGAACATACGGCAGCAACTTCGAGAAGCCTACTATTCGCGGCGCGCTTGCCATTGATAGCGAAGGTACCGAAAACAATGATTGACGCTGCAGAGACGTATGCAGCCCGCACATCATCTGACAGAACGTGGCTGCAAAACGGCCCAAATGTGAGCGCAATATCCGATGTACAACATACATGACATTGCACACAGTCAAGTCTCCAAGCGGCGCCTGCGAAATATAGCATGATGAACCGCCGAAGACTCGGGCACCGAAAGCCATGCCACTGCACAGCGGAGAGGCTCCCTTCAGTAGGGAACCAGGGAGAGTAAAGCATGCGTATGTAGAGGTCCTCAACAACTGGACGCTACGCTACGCTATTGTCGCTTGCTCGCGACGAGAGAAAACAGTTCACTATGAGGACAGATGCGAACGTATTACATAATCGTACATAATACCAAACATGGGACACATACTACTTCATTTAGAAATGCTCAAGGCGCTTTATGTAAGACAGACACCGCTCTCTGACCTTTGCTCTGACCAGAAGCTTATGCATGACGTGTGACCTTGCGGCTTCGAAACTGATGTATGTCTGAGGTATTTTGCTAAACGACACTCAACTATTGCTTGTCTCAACCCCTATTTCTCTCGCTGGACTGGTGTAAATGTAGATTGGCATGGAGCTGAATGAACGAGTTTCACGAGCAGTCAGTCGTCGTCAGCTCTTATTCAGCTGGGCTCTTCAGGACCACTGGCTTACGGGCTTTGCTTCGCCATGCGCCCCAAACGCCACCGCACGAACATGTACGCAGCAGCAAACCAGAGCTGACATAGCCAATTGATCTAGCTATACTGAAAGACACTAACCTGAAAGCATAGACAGGCAGTACATTGAATGACACAGCAGACTGTCGGGGCTACCAGGAACCAACGCGAACCGTGGAACGGTGACGTGTCTCGAAAGAATCAAAGTTCAGTGTCCTCAAAATGACAGCTCTGTCGGAATCTCCATGTCGGGACAGTGAGCCACGCGGACCGTTGAGAAGATCCTGCCTGCACCGACCAACATCAATCTCGAAAGCGAAACCATCGCGCTCACCACTGCTTGGCGTACCGTACAAGTGCTGCATAAGAACGATTAGAAACGGGATAGCTGTTTGCGGGAGCTGTGACATGTTGTCCATTAGTCGGCGTGGCAGCGACCGCGAGCTCTGAAGCGGCGTTGCCATGCGCTGCAAAGAGATTTGATGGTGGCGCGACGGGATAGATCCAGAAGGTCATAGCAGTGGGTGTGCAGGAGAGCAAAAATTTTTTAGGCAGATATACTAGCTAGAAAACGCGAAGCGTGATAGAGGCACGGAGGACTTGAGTGCGGTTACTGTCAGCAACTAACAATCCAACTGGACTGAGCTACAACAAAGCTGAGGAGACAGACGAGAGGAATGTAAGTGAGGAAAGACCAGCTCAAGTCTGGCTTGTTATTGAGCAGTACGAGCTCCTTATATACATGTCAGACTGAATATCTAGGATATCCTACGAATATACGGAGGTGTATAGAAAGTAAAAGAATACCATGGAATCTGGGAAAACCATCCGGAATATGTAATATTCATGACATTACCCCCCCGTCTAGAATCGTGTCCTCACGATTAATTACCGTCGATCCAAAACCTCCCGACCCTCGTTGAGTCTCTGTTAAACTGGACACCTCCTTGATATCGCATGATGCAATGCGTTCCAAAATGACTTGTGCGATTTGATCGCCGGCGCGTACCTGGAAGGGTTGATTTGTGGAATTGATCAACACTACGCGTACTTCTCTGGTATAATCTCGGTCGACGACTCCAGCCCCGACATCTATTCCTTTGACCGCTAACCCACTTCGTGACGCAATTCGTGCGTAAGTTCTATGAGGGGCACGCATTGCTATGCCAGTGCCGACAATTTTGCGATCTCGTGCCGGTAATTTGACGCTTTCCACCGAGTAAAGATCAAACCCAGCGGATTCTTCAGATCCTTGCTTCGGGAGAATTCCACCCATCCGTTGTACCAAAAGAGTGGTATCACACGTGAGTATGTGAATGGGTCGTGTTAACAAAGGGGGAATTCGAATCGTCATGGGCGCGGGTTTGTCGGGCCGTCTTGTATGGAATTCCTGTAGGAGTTCTTGACAATTGGTCAAGTTCGCTCATGATTCCCAGGAACGGCGATCACCATGGGGGCTATTCTTCCAGAGAACCTGATACTCAAGATTCCCATTTCGATCACGGCAAGAGTCAAGGATATCTTCAACTTCCCATTCTTCCTCGCCATTTACGAGGTCAGAGACTACCGGTTCACGCCGCTGAGAGGGATACGTGGGTTCTTGGAAGGGACTGAGAAGGCTTTCATTGAAAATGGGGTATTGTTTCCATTGGCGTGGGAGTTCCAATTCATAGGCAGAAGCACCGAATTTGCGTTTGACCTTGGAGGGTCCATATCGCTTATCGTCGAGCTTCTTCATTGGCCTGTCGGTTCGGATGTTTATCCCTTCTAGCCAAACCTTATCTCCAACTTTGTACTCTGGTCCGCTCTTCCTCTTTCAGTTGTAGAAACGCTTCATAGATTCCTGCGCTAGACTGATAGCCGCGCTAGTATCTTCGCGTACTCGATCCATTCTATCGACAAATTGTTGGACGTTTTTGCTTAGTCCTTCTCGCACCGGTTGGGTTCCTTCGTAAGGGTGATACCCTTTATTGACAAAGAACGGGGTATATCCGGTGGATGAGTGAACTTTATTGTTATACGAAAAGGCTGTGAGTGGTAACCTTTCAGCCCAATCTGCTTGTCAGTAGTTGATGAATAATCGGAGATACTGTTCTATCTCGCGATTGATGCGTTCCGTTTGCCCGTCTGTCTGGGGGTGATACGCGGTCGAGGGGTTGGCTTCGATTCCGAGGGATCAGTACAATTCCGAGATGAACTGATTTTTGAATTCAGTTCCCCTATCGCTGATGATCT